ACCGGGGCATTTGGGTTCAAACCCATCGGCAGCTGTCTCCAAGTTGGCTTATCACGACCTACCTCGATCTCGTGACCGCGGTAACTCCCGACCGCCAAACTCAGGATCCTCTCCTACACGGTGCTAGGGACCGTACATCCGTCGTTGTTGGGTGGTTTTTTCGAGGGTTAACTGCACTTGCGGGCCTCGGCCTCCCCCGGGGAGGGGAGGAGGGGGGAGGCGGAGATTGTAGTAGTACTTTATTGTTGGCTACGCTAAAGTTGCCGTCCTGGAGCCGCACGCTTCTTTGTTTGCGATTTTGCGGTGGAACAACACCCGCAGCAATCACAACCGCCCAACGTGGCAGCAGATACACCTGCGGATCCATTTCCCCTAGATTCTTCACCACCCCGTCGTACGTCCCCCCTTCTCTCAACACTGCCACTCGCATGTTCATTCCACGATACTTTTCTTTGCCCTCCTCGGTGTTTGCCTTGGGGATTGGGTTTTCGTCGCTTGGCAACGACGTTGTTCAACAAGTCGATTCGCTTCGTGAGCTCGTCAACCAAGCTTCCGCTTTTTTCTTTTCTTTTCTTTTTTTTTGCGGTAAACATGATAGTGGTCGAGTAGATCATGTTGTACGGGGTCGAGAACCCTCACCCCTCGCAAGGGGGATGATCGCACCACGTTGTGTGAAAATTGTCAAGCATCCTCGAGGCAGTTACACAGTGCTTACAACTGTCTCTGGAAGTGAAAGCACCAGAAAATAAATTACGTCATACGCAGCTGTCATTCGTACGCAAGGAAGTAAGCACAAGATGCCGAACACCCTTAGCAGGATGCAGCGCACCCTTCATGCGACTCGCCGAATATCTCACGGCGCTTCGCGCTTGGTGATGTGAGAGCCTGGTCCGGTGAGAACCCGGCGTGCTCCGTCCCGGCTTTGTAGGGATGCGAGGTCAATGGTCTAACGACTACGGCATGCACGACTATCGACTATGAGTACACCCCCCCCTCCCCATCCATCTCAAGCACCCCGGAACCTCTCACTTCCCCCCGTACGTGTTCCCTTGCGTCCCCCCCTTCCCGTTCCCTTAAATCACGCCGCCCTGTACTCCTTCTCTCAAAGATTTCGTTCCGACAACGGCGAAGGCGATCTCTAAGCGAAGGGGTGGCACCATCGTCCTCCTCCTCGTCGAGGGTAGAGGACGCGGCAACGCTGCAGGGCAGCGGCAGCGAGGAGTCCAAGTCCAGCTGGTCAGGCCGCGCCGGGCAAGCGGGTCGGTCCAGCTGCAGCCCCACCCGAGATCGCGACAGTCGCGCCCGATTTTTGGCCGGCGCGGCCAGCGGGAGTTCCCCGCGAGGGAGGCTGGTGGTGAGGGGGGCGGCAGGGGACGGCGGGGCTCCGGGAGGCGAGGGGCGGGGTACCTACGCCCGTCCAGGACCGGCGTCGGCGTCGCCCCCGCCAACGGCGAGAGAAACGGAGGCCGAAGAGCGCAAGGGCCGCGGCTGCGGGGAGGCGGGAAGTGATGGAGGGAGCGGCTCGGTTTCGCCCCCGCCGGTTTGGCAGCAGGGGGGTGAGATGACCTTGGCGTTGAGTGGCGGGGGTGGGGGGGCGCGGCGCCGCGTGGCT